GGAGAGGATCTGAGCGGCAGCCGAGAGGAAATCTGTGATCCAGCGATGGAGAGATAGAAAAGGAGAGTTCATTCTTTGAAAGTGCTTTTGTGACAGTGAACTAGATTGATGACATGCTACCTGTACAGGCTCATTCTTTTGACTCTTTGACACACACACGCGCGCACACACACACACCTGCTGGAAACTACAGCTCATATTTTACCCTAACCTCTTTTTAAAAGGGCAAGGAAGGACATGTTTGTCCCACTAAAACCAAACTAAACACATAATTGCGTTTTCACTTGAGTTACATAGCAATGCTTTCAGTAAAGATAACACATAAAATAACTTTTCAGTTGATCTAATTAAAAAGTACACAATTTCTCAAATTTGGACTCTTTCCAAAATTCCAGTGTCTAAGTGTCTCAACATTTCTGGATTTCTGATACAAGAATTAGGAGGGGCTGGGGAGGGCAGTAGAAAGTGAGCAACCAGTCGGTGCAGAGAAGGCTGAGGGCTCATTGAAACATTGGCGATGACACCACAGGAGAGCTGGCAGCCGTGTGCTGACTGTCAGAGATTAAAGAGGACGTCAACAGCGGTTTAACATGAGCCTAAGTGAAGACGGCAGACTGGGTCTGAATATTCTCTGACTATCTTAGATCTTTGAGGGAAACAGAGCAGGCAGGTGATTCTTATCCTCCTCTCTGCCACAGGAAGTCGAACAGCAGTACAACACGAGCACAAACATCTTTAATTTCACACGTAAAAGAACAATTGTAGATCAACAAACCAAAACTCCGTCCCCAGGATAATATTTGGACATTTGGATGTCTACACCTCCTTTGAAGATGCACTCAGTTTTAATCAGACTGGGTTGAAAGAAGGGGGGAAAAAATGGAACGTTAAGTGTGATTATTCCAAGTGCGGCTCTGAGAAAATGTCTGTGTTATAATCCAGGGATTTGAATAATCAGGTTGAAGATAATGGGCTGGGCTGTCCGGGGCGTAAATAGAGAGCATCCACTCATCCTCCCAGCTCTGCACTTAATGAACTTTTAATTGATGCGGTTTTGCAAGTCCTTTTGTCATGCAACAGAAACAAGGCTCTCTGCTGATGGACCTGTTTTCCCGACTGGCTTTGAGATTGGTTTACAGCAGGCCCTAAGTACCATGTAGTTAGTTTCATGTGTCATATAAAATCTGCCCAGGCACAACGACGCCTGCAACTAAAACCTTAAGTGCATCCACAGGAATCACTCACCGACTCGGCACTTCCGTCTTAAGGAAGGAGGAGAAATTCAATCACTGCCGCCTTGACACACAGAAGCCGAGGAGGCACGTGCTCCTGCTTTTAGTTGTCTTGGTCTCCGCAGCAGGCCCCGGGATTGGAGTTTGTCTCCAAAACATCTCTGATATGACCAGGGCTTGAGTCACTCAATCTGCCAGTGCGTGTCATCTCCCAGCCCTCGGAGTCTGATGCAAAGATAGAGATATACCCATGTGAGCCAGGTCATCTTTATTCAATGATTTGCTTATTTAAATGAAATGCGCCTGATCTGTATCTGACACAAATTCCCCGTGCACTGCTGCATCAGCTCAGTAAAGAGGGGGGAGCATCCTCACAAAGCACTTGGCCCACTTAACTTCCCAACAACCATCAGTAACCACAGCTTGGGGACTGTAACACAGCAATTTGTTAAAGAGATAAATAATCAGATTTGGCACAGCATTCCTATCTCTGCTCTGCCTTTCATTTGTCTTAAACTAGGAAAAAAGATATAATTAAATTATTTCTAATAAGGCTCACTGAAGGTGTGAGGAAAGTACCGATTGTAAGAAAAAGAGAGAAAAAAAAGAAAGTTTTTTTACACAAAAAGTTGTTGTTCAAGAGCCTACGATTATCGTACTTGGGTGAAAGTCTGGTCTGAGTCAAAGACAAAGTTTTACTAATTGTTTTTGAATATATCAAACCTCTGAGAGATGATTGCTAGACACTGACCCTGACCAGCAGGTAATTCTCCAATCCAGGGTCTTTGCTGTGGTCAATGTAGTGTTAATGATGGTGGGCTGACATGTGAGTGGTCCAACAAGCAGGACTCAAGCCACCGCTTTTACACCTTGTGTTTAGCAGTTTTAAAGAGAGACTGAGATGAACTCAAGCAGAGGTGTCCGTTTATATTTGAATTCTACTTTGAGCACGTCCAAAACACAGTCCAACAGTTCACCTCCATCTAACAAAACCAGACTGCATCCATAAACACCTTTGTCTCTCTGAAGCCAAGAATTCTTTTTGGGGTTTTTTTCCCATAACATCGAAGAGCAGAAGGTTTAAAAAAGGCTGTATTTTTTCCATTAAAGACAAGAAGGAGTGAGCTTGAATGGAGGATGGAAGGGGGGGGGGGGCATGAGGGAATAAGCCTAAATCAGTACCAGCAATGAGGGATGCTGCTGCTGTGCTGCGTTCACATACTTTAGCCAGACTGTGACCTGGCACGTTGGACATCAATCTTTTCACGTTTGCTGATAGATTGAGTCCATCAGTACACGATGCCATAGATCATGACTTGTTTATGGCCTGGAGATTCCCATCAAAAGAAGTGGACTAGAAAACAACTGGCTACCAGCTGTCTGAGCCGTCCCTCTGTGCCGTTCCCCTCATCCACACATAAACATCGAGTAACATCTGAACGTTTTACACAGTTTCTCTTTGTGTCTGAAGAAACCAGAAGTGATAAGAGATCATTAGAGTTTTCTAACCTCAGGCTGTCTGACAGTGCTAACACTTCTATTATGATTGCAGTAAAGTAAAACCAAGCTTTGTTCTTTCTTGGGAAAAAGATCCACAAATCACTTTCTCTTTTTTAAATTACTGCTCACTTGGTGTAAAAATCAGGCATTTACCCTGTTTAGAAATGCACACTTTAAACACACCCCGGCTTTTGACTGCATGTATTTCTCACTGATTCCCCTCCCATACTTTTGAGCCACTCTACTCGGTGGCCTTAAAAAGAATTGAAGCCTTTTAGACATTGACAAAAAATATTGTATGTAATATAACCATATTTGTCACTTGGTGACATGGATCAAACCAGCATAGAAACTCTGTGTATTTTGAAAAGAAAGATCAGACCATCGTAACTAAGCACTGACAACAAGACTGATTAATGATGAAAGTGGCGATACTGCAGTAGGTAATTTATCTCAAAGTGAGTGTTAATAAAACAAGAGGATTTTATAGGAAGAAAATTGTCCAGTCTGTAAAATCAAATAGGTAGTAGATTATTTGAAGCAATAAAAAAATTAAATATAAGCCAGTGATGAAGAAATTAAAATGTTTACTATTCTATATTTATTTCAGTTGGCTGATGATTTTAGATAAAATGCTTAGTTTTAATTGGATTTTTTCCAACATTGCTGTAAATGGGGTTTGTATATGAATGGAGGTTCAGTGACTAGACTTCCTCCCACATGGCAACACATACAGTTTGTGCTGTAATGAATCTCCGTAGCTGGCCTGCTGTCTGAGAGCAGGGCTAAGACTGGAAGAGAAGCAGCAGCGCTGTGCTCACCAGCCACTGGAAGCACAGGTGGTAGCAATATAGGCCAGTCCCCCAGGCTCTTGTAGCTGAGAGTTGTGTCTTGTTCACTGCCTTGTGCCCATATGGCTGCCTGTCTCACTCTCTTAGCAGACACTGCCTCCACACAGGCCCTTTTCTCTCAACACTGATTGTGGTTAGCTGTGGTTTCACGCCTCTCGCCATATGGTCCATGTTGTAAAGTTTGTTTTTTAGGGATGTTCCTGCTGTTTACACTGATTGTGCAAAACCAGACGCTCCCTATAGACAAGTCCATGTCAGCCCTCTGGTGACATGGACTGGTCAGTAGAGCTGCTGGTTTGTTTGTTAACTTTGGTGTTGTGCCGCAGGTGGCTCCAGGCGGCCACGGACATGAAACAGAGTGGACCGCCGAGGAAACACCTCGTCACCTCAAAGACGTAATGAGGAGGAAGTGTCCAAAACCTGACTAGATCCACCTCCTGTCATATTTAGACCAGAATTTAAGACACACAAATGTGCTTTAAAATGAATAGTCAAAGCTACTAAGCTACAAAACAAAGCTACTAAGACACACAAATGTGCTTTAAAATGATTAGTCAAAGACATTAGACAGTGTCAACAGAAATTTCGTAACTAAATGTAGTAAAAAAAAAAGCTACTAAGGTCTAACAGAAACAATAAAGATTAGCCAAACGTTACCAAAGAATTCATGTTATGATCCTGGAAAAAAGAAAATCCCCCTAAGCAGTCAACAAAACTAATTTTAAAAAAATGTTTCTAGGCAGGTAAAACCAATCCAGGACTGGTTTAAACAACTGTTGGGTCATGTCAGCAGAGGTGTACCACTGACCCGTAGAAGCTCTGCTGCATTGTATTGATTGATCTTTCTGTGACTTTTTCTTCCAGGTCCACATTAGAAGAGCCCTCCCCTCACTGTCACCCACTCTACGGTCACGGCGTCTGCAAGTGGCCCGGATGTGAGGCCGTGTTTGAGGATTTCCAGTCTTTTCTCAAGTAAGTTTTAAATCCCTGTCAGACGTTTGTGTGTCTGCCCTCATGTCGGGTCGATTACAGTGACTCAGAAGCTCTGCAGGTGTCTGGGTCGCTTCTCTGTGACAGGGTCTCCTTCTGAGAACGGCAGGGGCCTCTCATTCCTGTGATAAGTGCAGTTCCCATGGCGACCGGGGCCACTTTTCCCAAACAAACTACGGTGGGATGTTTATCTGTGTCTGCCCACCCTTAGAGAGCTCTGCATGTTTGCCTTTGTCACTGGACCGGAAGATACGTTTGTGTGTGTGTGTGTGTGTTTGTGTGATCTTGATATACAGTAGCTGTATACTATTGGGGACATTTTCTGGAAAATCCAAATGTTGTGGGGACATCCTTTTGGGGACACTTTTCTGGTCCCCTCATTAATGGGGTGTTTGAAGTCTTAAATTGGAAATGAGATTAGACTAAAGGTCAAGTTCAAGTTAAGGTAAGGATTAGGCACATATTCTTAATAGTTCATGTTAGGATAGGGAAATCAAACAGTTCCTACAAAACACACAAACCAGCCTGTGTGTGTGTGTGTGTGTGTGTGTGTGTGTAGATGAATGACTTACTCAGCTTTATCTTGTCTTTTAGTTCAAACCCTTCCTTTTGTCTCCCTTCACTTCTTGATTTTTTTTGTTTGCTCTTTATCTCAGCCTTGTCAGCCTGACCTGCTGAGCTACAGCTACATAGTAGAGTAATTCACAAACAGGACCTGGAAAAGGTTCCAAGTCCATCCTTGAACCACCTTGACCTTTTTTGCTTGTGTATGGCTGGAATTGTTTTTGTTCCTGTGAAAGTTTCTCAATATTTCTGACCATTTCCAAGGTATTTTTTAAAATATTTTGTGACTATTGGCTCTAAATGTTTTGGACTTACTTTTCTTTGTTTTCTTTTTTGTTTAAATTTATCTAGCGATGTATTCAGATTAGTGAGTGAAAAGGGGAGAGGTAGTTGGTTCTTGTTTAATTTCCAAGTCTTGATTACCTGTACTAAGTTTATGAAAATTTAAAAAAAACATGTCACGTGAGGCGCTGGCCCTTTGGTAATTGGACACTGTCCAATTGGCCAATCTTTGTAAAAAAGTTTGGATCCTCCCTGGCCGTCTAGCCTGACATGGGCTTGCTTTGTGTTATGAGTCTGTGACTGAGTCAGAACCAGGGTTTACTAATCAAGCCGGTGTGCAGCGAGGTAATCCAAAAACAAAACAGCTCCATGGGAGCTGCTTCAGGGAGGATGAAAACATCTGCGTCATGGCAGCAGATCAATAGGCCACTGTCACCCCGGATTAGTCGCACTCTAAACAAGATATGACACAATTCCATTATCCCAAAACAAGCGCTGTTCTCAGAGAGCAGGAGGTAAAGGTGCTGCAAGTCACAAGTCTGGCCCGGGGGGAAATTCCTGGTATGTGTTCAAGCTGAAATGTCCAACTTCACTTTATACATATATACATAGATATATACAGTACATACTCCACTATTCTGAGAAGATTTTTCATAAGATTTCTGCAACATTTACAGTTCACTTGTTCTAGATGATTACATTTAAAAAAAATCAAATTGACCTTTTCATGTTGAAGCAAATGACGTCACCATTGTTAATGTTTAAACAAATAGACTTAATAATTTATAATAACTTTACAGTAACATCATCACCCTGTACTTTCAACAGCCTAACGATGGGAAGTAAACGAACCTACGGCTGCTGTAGTGTTCCCTTTTTATTAAATGTTTTTTTTACTACATATACTGTAAAAAAAAAAGCTAAATCAGAGACAATGGTGTAAAGTCAAATTTATTAGCAAATAATTTCAATGTATTTTTAAGCACTAAACAACTGTTGGCATGTTTCCCGTTTCTCTTTGTTTGTTACAGCCTTAAAAAGAGGCAGACGCCTATTTTAAGTTTTGTTAAATAAATATCCCATGACACTGACTTACTAACAACATAGACACATTTTTTTAACTTTGGGAGTGACCCATTAAATCCATCAGTATTTATTGTATTCTGACATTGCCTCACCCTTTGTTTATAGAAGAGAAGAGGATTAAGTTCAGTGTGCTGCTCGAGCTGGGCCTGAAAAAGTCTCTCAAAGTGCACTCTGCTGTGTTTTTACAAGTGTTTTTATCATGGCAACATCTTGTTTACTTTAGTTGCCTGCTCAAACTGCCTGGAACACGTTAAGAAAACATTTGGGGAGAGTCTACACAAAGCCGCCTTTGTTTAGCAGCGGGCGAGAGTGCAGAGCAGCTCACCAAGGTGTTAACTCTCAAACCCTTAAGCACTTCCACATGAAAACCCAGCAACTGATCCTGCTGGCCTCCAGAAAGAATCAAAAATAAAAACAAAGAACACATCAGAAGTCTTAATGCTTGACAAATGTCTCCAATGATTTAGAAAAATGTTGGAGTTGTACGTGAAATGTGTGTGTGTGTTAGTGAGTG